TATCTATCTATCTATCTATCTATCTATCTATCTATCTATCTATCTATCTATCTATCTATCTATCTATCTATCTATCTATCTATCTATCTATCTATCTATCTATCTATCTATCTATCTGTCTATCTAGGCTGCGACTATTCGTACACTTTGCCAGAATTGACAGTTTGGCTTTTTAAAAAAAACGATTAAAAATTTTATTTTTGGGTTTGTAAGACAAAATGAGGCCTCAAATGAAAGATAATCTCTTTATTTTAAGTAAAATAAACTACCAAAAATGACATCGGAATACCTTGAATTTAATGATACCCGGGTGCGAATTGGGGCACTGCGTGTTTGGGTCCATTTTGTCATTGCTGTAGTTTATTTTAGATAAACTGAAGAATTAAGTTAACAAACATATAGTGTATTCAATTTTTGTTTCATTTGATACCTCATTTTGTCTTACAACCTAACAATAAAATTGTAAATAGTTTTTTTAAATCCCAACTTCTCACTTCTGGTACCCGGGTACGAATAGCCACTTCGACCTATCTATCGACTTATCTATCTATCTATGTATCTATACATCTATTTATCGACATATATATTATATATATATATATATATATACACTGATTACATGGAACATTAGTTGTTTGGCATAAAGAAGTCAAAATTGTCAACATTATGTTATATATTACTTTCCAGACGCATTGTTTGTCAACTGTCATTATTGGACAGACAATAAAAACAAGTTTATGTAGGGTGAATGGCATTTGTCACTGTTTAACGTTTGTTAGTGTAAAGAAATAATTTACTAAATACTCTATCATTGCGAATCACGTAACTCAGCTTATTCAAAAAACCAACAAAAAATAAAAATTCTTTAATGCTGTTTTCTATTCATCGTCTAAATCGAAGTTACTAAAAAGAAAACTTATTAAACGTCGTTATAACTTTGCACTAAATTTACAGATGACTATAAGAATGATTATCAGCATCTGACAATCTGATCTGAGAACTAAGAAGATGTTGCTGTTTTATGCCTTGTTTATTGGCAAATATTTATAAAGTGGTAATAGATCCCAAGATATCACATATTATATTGCTTGCATTTCAGAAATGTTTATTAAATTCAACAGAAACAAAATATTTAAGAAATTTAAATATAAGAGAACCAATGTTTAACAGACTAAATTATTCTCCCTTGGTATCAGCATTAAATCTATTCAATCGTAATATAATGCCGTCTCTATACATAC